AACAATGAAAATACATCCTGCATATCAGATATTTACATTACGATTCATAACAGTAGCAAAATTACAGTTATGAAGTAGCAACGAAAATAATTTTATGGTTGGGGGGGGTCACCACAACATGAGGAACTGTGTTAAAGGGTCGCGGCATTAGGAAGGTTGAGAACCACTGCCATAGGAGAAGTTGCTCGTGGAGTGGAGGAGAGAAGCTGGCAGTTCTGTTCAGGGGATGAACAGTTGGAGGGAAATATGCATCTTTCAAGAAATCAGCCCTAGATCCAGTGGTTAGCTTATCTACAGGGATGTAGCTGTTAACATTTTTGTTTTTTTGGATTTGATTCTCTTTTATATAGTACAAAGTGTGGATAAAGCCTGGAGCAGAGCAGTCCTTCCTGTATGGGAATCACGTGTTAAAATCTGGACTGGGTCGAATCACTGAAAACACGTCTCAGTACCAGGGCGTGGTGGTGTACTCCATGGCAGACATCCCTTTGGTGAGTACAGCTGGTAGCTCTTATGTAAAGATCTTTTTTACTCAAGAAAGATGTATTTTTCAGTCTGTGGGCTTGTGAGACTAAATGCTCAGCACAGTTGGAATTTCTCAGAGAGCTGTATCTTTTATTTTTATTTTTTTTTATGTCTTCTGTTATTTCCCAGCCTTCAGTGCGTGCTTATTGAATGACTTGAGTGAATCAGTGTCTCTTCTTTTGAATCCCAGGGTTTTGGGGTGGCAGCAAAGTCTACACAAGACTGCAGGAAAGTAGACCCCATGGCGATTGTGGTATTTCATCAAGCAAACACTGGGGAATACTAGTATGTGCAACATGAAGAGACATTGGCTTAAAATGAAATAATCGCAAGGACTTATGGCTGTGTGGACGTGCCTAGCTTTGTTTCCTGTGTCTGTGTAGGCTCCACCATCATGTTGAATTTGGTCAACACTGTGATCTCTCCAGGGACTTCTTAGTTTAATATGGACAAATGCAGGCTGGATTCTTATTAAGCAGAAATGGGTCAAAAATGGCGTTTCGGGTGTTTGTGTTTGCTACTAAATAGAATATCGTGTTTTATATTTCAATCAGAGGGCTTCTTATTTTCAGTAAAAGATTCTAAATCATTGGAATTGAGGACAAGAATAGCTCATTGTTATCTGTGATAACACTGTTTTTCAAGCTCATGGTAAGAACACAATAGGTTTTCTTATTTATTAATACTAGAAAGGTAGATATTGCTGTATGAGAATAGTTGGCCATGCCTGGGATTTTACAGATGAAATTTGGGTAAAATACTAAGAGCAATTTATTCTGCTAGTTTTCCTTATGATGAGTGCTGTGTGGTGTGGAAGAAAACTTGGATCCTAAACCTAGTTCTAATACCTACCAGCTCTATGATGCTGTAGATGAGTCATTAAACTTTAATGAGCTTCATTTTCTTCTGTTTCAAAAAACAGCTTTAACCATCTACCTAAGAATGGTTTTCAGAATTTGCCTGGCAAATGACAGGTGCTGACTAAGTGGTAAGAATTGTTTTTATGTTGCATATACTGAGTGTTTCTGCTACTAAGCGTAGGATCTAATGAGTATAATTTGATTATATTATTTTGGTTTTTCCAAGCTGTTTTCTGCATCTTTTTCCTGGATGGTGATTTCAGGTTGAATGTTATTTTCATCACCTTGGTTTCCTAAAACATTCCCCTTATGAACCTTTACTTACCTTACTGGACTGGACAAAAAGCACTAATCAGAGACCCTGAAATAATGTACCTCCTTCATTCTTCCCCATGCTTTCTGAAATCATTTTTAGAATTAAAATATTTTTAAAATGAAAGTAATTTCACAGAGAAATGTTTTTTAAACTACCTATATTATAAAACAAATTTTCTAATGATTATACTGTTTAAATTCCAAAGGTGACTTCTCTAAAAATAAAGCATTTTTAAGTACAAAAAAAGCATTCTACCAACTACTGTTTTTGTATGCAACATATAAAACCCACATAAAACTAGGTTTTATATGTTTTTGACCCATTTTTCCAACTCTTCTCCCTTCCACAGTTCTCTGTTAACCTCTGAATAGACTTAGTGGCCCAGCTGGCATGGCTCAGTGGTTGAGTGTCGACCTGTGAACCAGGAGGTCAAGGTTTGATTCCGGGTCAGGGCACATGCCCGGGTTGTAGGCTGGATCTCCAGTGTGGGATGTGCCTAAGGCGGCTGATCAATGATTCTCTCTCATCATTGATGTTTCTGTCTCTTCCCTCTCCCTTCCTGTTTGAAATTAATAAAAAATATTTAAAATAAATAGCCTTAGTGAAGGTTAAGGGACTGCTACAGTATTTTGATGATAGCATCTGGTGCATACATTAGAAATAGCCAACATCAGAACTTATACATTTTTATTCCTTTATTGCCATTTTGCCTCTGTAGATGAGTGCAATAAACTAAAACTTTCTAATAGGAGAAATTGATTTTTCCCCAATAACTTTACAAAGCTGATTTAACAAAGCTTTGACAAGCTTCTGCCCCAGAAGAAAAGAGCCAGCACGCTGTAATTATTTTAGCTTAGCATTTTGGCTTCTTTGTGTCTGTAGTCGTTGAGACATTGAAGAGACGCTTCAAGAAGTACAGCTGCAGGATCCCAGAAAGAACAATAACAAGGCTCTGGGCCATCGACCACCAGTTCACATAGTTGTAGTTTGATTGGAGGAGGAAAAAGTCAGCCATTTTCCTCATGCGGGCAAAGTTGTAATGACGCCACATGTGAAAGATATTTTTCTGTACCTTTCGTGTACTTTCCTGTGGGACAGACAATGAAATAAGGAAAGGGTTCCTCCCAACCCCCGATCTAGCCTCACCTGGATGCTCTCCAGCACTAACTTAAGTTTATCTGGAAGTTGAGTAACTTAAGTGATTTTATGATATGTAATAAGTTGGCTATTATAATTGATACATGTTGCTGCTTTTGCAGTATATGAAAACATGGCCTGGTCTTTAAGTTTAAAAAAAGTCCATGTTGAAACTAGAGACCTCTTCCAGAGATCTCTAAATTTAGATACCCACACAACACATCATTGTCCTAGGTGGAGTCTTTAGCTCTTGCATGTGGTAGAAGACAAAGGCCTGCAAACTTACAGAGCCAGACACAGTAAATAATTTTTCTGTACCTTTCGTGTACTTTCCTGTGGGACAGACAATGAAATAAGGAAAGGGTTCCTCCCAACCCCCGATCTAGCCTCACCTGGATGCTCTCCAGCACTAACTTAAGTTTATCTGGAATTGAGTAACTTAAGTGATTTTATGATATGTAATAAGTTGGCTATTATAATTGATACATGTTGCTGCTTTTGCAGTATATGAAAACATGGCCTGGTCTTTTTTTTTTTTAATATATTTTATTGATTTTTTTCAGAGAGAAAGGGAGAGAGATAGAGAGTTAGAAACATCGATCAGCTGCCTCCTGCACACCCCCTGGGGATGTGCCCGCAACCCAGGTATATGCCCTTGACCGGAATCGAACCCGGGACCTTTCAGTCCGCAGGCCGACGCTCTATCCACTGAGCCAAACCGGTTTCGGCATGGTCTGGTCTTTAAGTTTAAAAAAAACGTCCATGTTGAAACTAGAGACCTCTTCTAGAGATCTCTAAATTTAGATACCCATACAACACATCATTGTCCTAGGTGGTGTCTTTAGCTCTTGCATGTGGTAGAAGACAAAGGCCTGCAAACTTACAGAGCCAGACAGTACAGTAAATATTTTAGGCTTTCAGGCCATGCAGTCTCTTGCAGCCACTGAACTCTGCCATTGTAGCACAAAAACAGCCATAGACAATACGTAGTTGTCAATTAAGCATGCTGTGTTCCAATAAAACGTCATTTACAAAACTAGGCAGTGGACTTCAGTGCATCAAGGAGATGATCATGAAAGTGCAAAGACATCCCACAGAATGGGAGAAAATACCTATACATCATATCTGATAACTTATATCCAGAATATATTAAAAAAAGGAACAACTTACAGCTCAAATAAAAAGACAACCCCATTTGAAAGTGGACAAAGGATTTAAATAGACATTTCTCCAAAGAAGATATACATATGCTGAAAAACACCTGAAAAGTTGCTCAATGTCATTAGACAACTCAAAATCACAAGATACCATTTCAAACCCACGAGAGTGAAGATGTGGAGAAATTGCAACCCTTATTTACTGCTGGTGGAAGTGTAAAATGGTTTAGGCACTGTGGGAAACAGCAGTTCCTCACAGTCACTATATGACCCAATACACTACTATATGTAGAAATAAAACCACATTTACACAAAAACTTGTATGCAAATGTTCACAGCTTCATTCTTCATGATAGCCAAAAAATGGAAATAACTCAAATGTCTGTCAGTTGATGGGTGGGTAAATAATGTGGTATATCCATTCAATAGAATATTATTCTGCTATAAAAAGGAATGAGATACTAAATACATGCTACAATATGGATGAGCCTTGGAAACATACTAAATGGAAAAAGCCAGAGACAAAAGGCTACATTGTGTAATTTCACTCATGAAATATACAAAATAGGCAAATTTATAGGGCCAAAAAGTATAAAACAAGAACTCCAAGTCATAAAAATTAAAGGCTTCAAATCCCCTTGCCTGTTTGGTTTCTCAGCTCAAATGATATCACTCCCATATTTTTCATCTTTTCTCCAAATTTAAAATCTGTTTCCATGGATGTTTCTCTCCCACAAAAGTTACCTCAATTGCATCCAGAGTATCATTCAGTTGTTTTCTTTCGTTCTGTTTATGGTCCATCTCAGGCTCTTCATAGAAGACTCCAAAATTGAGGTATACTTGCACAGAACCAAAGTGATTTTGCTGATTTTTTAGACAAAGTTGATAAAAACCTGTAGGGATCCCTGGATCATTAGCAAGTCTTGGTCTCCCCACCCTTTGTTGATCTCTCACCCTGTAGGTGTGGAGATAACTGTTCTCCGGGGGTCAGTGTGCTACATTAGCTCCTTCTTTTTACTTAGCAAGTACAGCAATCCAGTTTTTGATGTAGAAGTTAGACTGATCTTAAATGAAACTTATTTTACTAAACATTACTTATAATAATCGTGTTTTGGCAGATATTACTAACAGGTCTATATAGAAAAGAAATAGATGTTTCCGTCCTCTTTTTCAACCTATTATCTCTGAAGGAATTTCTCAAATTGAGTTGAAATTAAGAGCTGGAGGATACCATCTTAAACTTAAACTAGGCAAAAATTGATGTGAATGAAAGAAATGAGTAACTAGGTGGTCTGTACAGGGACTGATGGTTTTGGGCATGTACTGGTGCTGGTTCTCAGCTGGGGTCACCTCCCCTTGTGTGTGTGCAGTGTTTTTACCGAAATGATTGGAAGGCACTACTGGCATGGAGGGGCCAAAGATGCTAAATATCCTATAATACTACACAGTGAAGGATCGTCTATGCTCCTGTTGAAAAACATGTTTTTTCGTACACCTGGCTGGTAGAGAGTGCTGCTGACTGGTGCTGTCCCAGGTGGGGACAGGCTCGATCTGGCTGTAGGACCTTCCTGGTGACTCGAGAAGTGCTTTGTTGTGGGATGTGGATATTTTTCATGGGTGTGCATTTCCTGTTGTTCTGGGTGCTTTTTGGTAACTGGGTCATGTATTTCAATGACTGGAAAGAGATGTCATTCCATAATAAATTTACTAAATGAAATTCTGTATCTTTAACGAGTCTGTCTGTTTGGGGCACTTTCCCATATTCTGGTTAGTTGGGGATGATGAGATAAAATTGAGTTTCTGGACCCTGGAGTTATAATTAGTCACCTGGAGACTGCCCCCAAACTGCCAGTGGACTACCACTTGGCCATTGGCAGTCTCCAGGAAAACTGTTTTTTTGTGTTCTAGGCTTAAAGTTTTTTTTTTTGTTTTTTTTAAAAAAAATATATTTTATTGATTTCTTACAGAGAGGAAGGGAGAGGGAGAGGGATAGAGAGTTAGAAACATCGATGAGAGAGAAACATCGATCAGCTGCCTCCTGCACATCTACTGGGGATGTGCCCGCAACCCAGGTACATGCCCTTGACCGGAATCGAACCTGGGACCTTTCAGTCCGCAGGCCGACGCTCTATCCACTGAGCCAAACCGGTTTCGGCAAAAGTTTTTTCCTACTGTTTTACCATCCTATGCAAAAAAGCCAGGGTTTTCACATTTTAGCCACTTAATTTTAATATGTCCTCATCATTTTCCCAATTTAAAAGAAAGATGATTATTAGAATAGCTGTAGTGATAAAAACAGACCTGTCTCATGGGTAGAGAAGTTAATCTGGCCCCGAACATTCTGAGAGGTTTCTATGAGAAAACCTTGTGGGGTATGTGCAGTGGCAGCAATATGCCGGTCATGTGATATTCCCATTGTCCGCTGAACCTGCCGAGACACATTAAAGAGGGAGAACAGTCCCTGATACATCACCAAGAAGCTAGTTAAGTGGTAAGATTGACATCCTATGTGGTTCTCAATCAGGGATGGTACTGCCCACCCCTTCTGGGAATTTGGATTGAGGTAACAATGGTGTTGGGATGGGGTGAGGAGAGACAGCAAAGATGAACATCCTGCCAGTTAGAAACAGAACTGCAGGACAGAGAATTGCCCCAAATGCAGATGGCACTCCTCTAAAGAAGACATGTCACAGACCTTATAGCAGCCTGAATCAGTTGGTGTGCAAGATTCTGGTTGTAGAGTCTTGACTGAACTAGCTTGGCTTTGAGCTCCCTGATGTTGTCCTCACACACGTGGGCGTATTTCATGCTTCACAGGAAATAAGGCACTAGGTAGGCACTTATTGCCAAGCTGGGTCTTGATAAGCCCAGGCTACAGTGCGCTGACTATACTCTTCTATCACAATTTAAAGATAAAAAGTTCTGGTAAGTTCATTTAAAATAAGTTGTTTTTGTTTTATTTTTTAAATTGATTTCAGAGAGGGGGAGAAATAGAAACATCAATGATGAGAATCATCTATTGGCTGCCTCCTGCGTCCCCTACTGGGATCGAGCCTGTAACCTGGGCATGTGCCCTGACGGGGAATCAAGTAGTGACCTCCTGGTTCATGGGTCAACGCTCAACCAGGGAGCCACACCTGCTCGGCAAAATAAGTTTGAAGTTACAGTGGAGTAAGATCAGTATACATAATCTATTACTATGTAAACAGATTAGAAAATTAAGAGGTTTCTAAGATGAAAAACAAAGGGATTGAACAGCCTCTAACTTCACTATTGAGCAAGATGGATTTAAGTAGCTGGTCTGTGATCAGGCAACTTAAAAACATTTACCTTCTTACACAAACAGGACTGTCTGGCCCAATAGAGAAATCTTGAGCCAGTGACTCTCCAATTTGCCAGAATTACCCCTAAAGGCAAGAGACTAAATGTTGCTCTCCCAGCCCCATAAACTGAAGTGTCTTTTTGAAATCTCTTTAAAGTTCATGTGACTTTCCATATCCATATTATTTTCATATTTTAAAAATGCATTTTCTCATCCCCAAATCCAAGTAAATGTGATGATTGTTTCTCCAGGAAGAGGCACCCCATTTGTCCCATGGTTTTGAGCACAATTCCATAGCCTCCAGTTTGGGAAGCCAAGCCATATGTTTTAGTGATTATTCATCTAAGAGTTTCCATCTAACTGCAGGTCTATTTCATTAACAGATGGAGAATCACAGCATAATAAAGACAACCAGAACCTCATGTTAGTCTAGGACTTGACCCACTTTACAAAAGGAAACAACCAAAAAAATTCTCCCATGTGGCCAGAGGAGCCCAAGTACCTACCTCATAGCTGAAATAGAAGTATCCAGTTTGGTGGGCAAATTGCCAAAAGCATTCTATACCTCCTGGAGGGATCATGATGGCAAAGTCATATCGATCTGCTCCCCGGAAGAGTGACTGGTCCCCAGAGCCACTAAGGGGTTCTGTTTTCTGGCTCCTAGCAGAGGTCACTAGGTTCAGAACCACCAGTCCAGCCCCAATGAGCAAAGGGAACATGCTGATTCCCGGAGACTCCTCTGCAGGTGAACTGCCTGCAGCCCAGTGGAGCCAAGTAGTTTAGATAACTGCTAGGGTAATCATTAACTCCCCAAGTCACACCTGGGCTGGCTTCAGGGCCACACATAGATATTCCATAAAGAACTGGCATGATACCGCATGTGTGGCTCACAAGGAGAGTTTTTGCTTTCACCCAGTAAAACTCAGCAGCTTACTACTTCATGGGTGCTAGGTAGAATCTACTACAATATATCTCTATCCTTCCTTTTGGCTGTCATTTTTTCAGTTCTTGCTTCTTGGGGATAAATATTGAATAAGTTTATTTACAACCATCTGAATAGTATAGACAGAAGTTGGCTGGGGAGATTTTTCTCTTATTCAAATCAAATTGCTAGGTGATAGCCAATGTTATAGTTGAGAGAACAAAACCCATGAAAATGTGTGAACGAATTTAAATGGGTGAAGAGTGAGCAAAAGACAGAAATGGATTTTCAGAGATTCCAGTGGCTGGCTCACCATCCATAAGCACAGCTGGCACTGCAGGGGCCCTGACTGGGCCTCACACTCTTACCCATCAGGACAGTATTTCTGTCACTCTCTGAGTCGTGCCAATGTCTAAATGTTTTTATTTCAGCCATAATCTTAAAAAACAAAACAGCATTAACAGCTTCTAAGCAAGTCTTGCTTCAGATTCATCACATTGACTCCAAGTGTAATACCGAAACTATCTCAAGGGAATAAGCAAAGAACAGACTTCATAATTGTGTTCAGTTCTGGAGGAGAGCGAATGTCACAGCACTCTTCTTGCTGAGGTGGAGGTGGAAGAGACCGGGATCATTTCTCAGCACACAGTGGCACAGGCACCCCACCCAAGTTCCCCACTGCCAGTTTTTACACTACTCATGACATGAGCAGTGACTTAGACTCAGCGAAACAGTCAACAGTACATGGTAAGTTTTCTAGTTCTCTAGAAGCCAAAGTCTGTATTTTGTTTGTACACACTTCATTAACATTATAATAACACTGAAGCGATGTTTTAAAAAATGTTCATGGACCTGTACATTTTTCACATTTGAGAAATGCTGATTAGGATATTTTGCTTCCCTAAATCATCGCAGTGTCACTCTTCTACCCAGAGCACGCCATCTTACTGAGGTGAGTTGAGGGGAGAAAAGCTTCTGGATCCGAATCCAGTTTAGAGGGAGACCACACTAGCTGCCACCAGATCAAGAGGCGGCGGCTGTATTGAGAGGAGATCAAGTTCTCACTGTCGTTTCATTTGGGGTTCATTGACGGAAAAAAACAGTAGTACCAAACCCCCAAACATGCAGTTAACAGGTAATAAAGCTGTACAAAGCTTCCAACTTGTAAGTACAAGATGAATTTGAAACTTTAGCATTTCTTTACATCTTTTACTCCAAAGAGAAAAAGGGTTCCAGGTGGCTTCCAAAGATGACAATATCCAGTACAGTTTGACATCGCTTTTTAACAGTCAACGTGGTTCAGCAGAACTTGTATAATTAACATTTTGCCACCTCCACTGTTCATTCATGTTGAGCTGCAATTAAACAGCCACTTATATTTGAGAGAAGCAAGACTTTAATGAAGAAGGCTACAAGTTATGGACAATAATTAGTTCTCAAATTTTAAAAAATGATTACAGAAAACACTTTACTGAATTTTCTTTTTGCTAAAAAGACAGTCTTTAAGGATGTCCAAGAAAGACAGCAAGCACAACACAGTACAAAAGAAGGAAATGTTGAATTCCAGTGCAAGACACTAACATAGCACAATTAGGGAATCAGGTGGAAGCAACCATTTTCACAAAGAATGGGATTAGGCTTTTATATTCAATCAGGATTGGGTTGTTTGTTTTTTTTTAAGCTTTAAAAGTCCAGCATAAGGAAGAGAATTGAGAAGAGAGAATGGGGCAAGGGGCTAAGCGTATCTACAATCACCAAAAAAACACACGGGTTCCACCACATGAGAAGTGGAGGTTAAACCTGCCTACGTAGCCCAGCAAATATTAGGAGCAAATGCCAAGACTAGGTCTAGGTGTTGATGTCACAACAGGCTAAAACAGTTTTTAAAGGGACCCTGATTCCACCAGGACTGGTCTCTCATCATCGTGGGCTCTGATAGACGAAGTTCCTTTGCATTTGCACCAAAAGGCCAAAGCTTTACCTGGAACAAGTTCACTCCAAATAATGCTCACGTTGCTGGTTTTAACAGGTCCTGGAGTCATAAGTGTTCCTAAAAGACTCCACCATTTCCTAGGAGAAGGTCCTACTGATTACCAGGGATTGGAATTCAAGCAAACCACTGAAGAAGGGAAATACTAACGATATTCTGGCACTGTACAAGCTGTCTGCCTGTCGAGGGATTGGAATTCAAGCAAACCACTGAAGAAGGGAAACACGATATTCTGGCACTGTACAAGCTGTCTGCCTGTCATCTCTGCCAAGAACATGGGATATACTTGGCTTGCAGCTCCATGATCTCCAACAGCGATGAAGTGGAACTGGGACCTCCCCCACGTCAGAGGAGGATGCCCAAAATTTTCATCCCAGCCCAACTTCTGAAAGAAAGCAGACTATCGGGGCTATTATTAGGAACCATGCTCCTGTGAATTCTGTGGAAATGAAAGCTGTTTCAGTTCATGCCAAGTCTTTTCATGGTCCGCCAGCGATCCTTAATCATCACAGCTGTTCGGTTAATAAATGGGTAATTTTTAGAAATGGCAGCCCAGTTTCCTTCCCCGAATTTCTGCACTCCAGCCTTGATCCACTCGCTCTCCTCTACAGTCCACTTCTGTAAAAGAAAACAAAAAGATTTATCATAACCTGGCTCTCCACTTATTTACATCTCCATACAGTGAAGAGGTAAACTCAAGAAACCTAGGAGAATATGAACCCCCAAAAAAGTTTTATATTTTTAAAACCTGATACAGACAATAAGTTAACACTGGATGCGGATATTTAAAATTTTCAATGTCCTGCCATTTCACTTCAATTAATAATCACTTGTGCATTCAAGCGTCAAACTTGTGTGTTGTTCATGATCAGGAACATGTGTCAGGTTGCTGTCCAACTAGATTTTTCTTCCAGAGAATAACTACAGTAAGCCCTCACTTAAGGCAACTTTAAGTGAGAGGACATATTAACAAAACCAATTTTATCCTGGGCTAATTAATAGAAACAAGACAAGTACAGCATCTAATCAACATTATAACAAAACATTGATCGAAAGGACGTTACTTGAGGATCTGCTGTATTTAACTTAGTTTGGATCATCAGAAAAACGCAAAGGATTTTTTGCCAGGTGCATGGGTAGTCTATCTGTGAGATGTGGGTACTTATTTTACCTCTGTTCTACCCACACAACCAGAAAAGATCAGAAAAGAGAATTTTAAATTACCTGCTTTTTTGTTACACTGCTTGAACTCTCTTCATCTGGTGCAGCTGGAAAACATTAAAAGTAGATTCATTTCAGAGTTAACTTTCTTTGCACAAACACCAGAAAAAGACATAGAATGTCCCTAATGGGAAAGCTTGATTCAGATTTCACAAACTTTGAGAAAAGAAAGGATATCACCAAAGGAGAATTTGGTTTTGTCCTTTGTTTGCAAGATACCAATCATTTCAGCCCATGAAAATCTGTACACAGCAAATACAATACAAAAAGGCATTAATAAATGTTGGTTAATGATGGATTTGGGGCTCTTTAATAAAACTAACATTTTCTAAAATTACTGAGTGTGGTATTTAAAACCCTAATATAAATCTTATACATACATGATTTCTGCTTTATAACCCCTTGCTAATCACTCTTTTGAAATAACTTTTACTGTTTCATGTCAGAATTTTAAAATCCCTGATCATTTTATATAAGTTTAGGTTTAATTCCTTAAACAGAAGAACAGGGTAATGCCCTAGCTGGTTTGGCTCAGTGGATAGAGCATCGGTCCGCAGACTGAAGGGTCCCCGTTCCATTCCGGTCAAGGGCACATACCTCACTCAGTTGCAGGCTTGATCCCTGACCCTGGTTGGGGCATGTGTGGGATGCAATCAATGTCTCTCTCACATCAAGATGTTTCTCTCTCTGTGTCTCTCCCCCTCCCTTCCACTGTCTCTTTTTAAAAAAATCCTATATAATAAAAGCCTAATACGCAAATTTTCCGCTCGACCGCTCGGTATGACGTGCGCTGACCACCAGGGGGCGGCGCGGCACGGTGCTGGCAGCAGGTGGCTGTGGAGGCGCTGCCGGCCCTGATGGGCCCCGACGAGAGCGGGACAGCAGAGCAGGTGGGCAGGCAGCGCCAGGCCAAGGTGGTGCAAGCGGGGCCCTACCGCCCCACAGACAGCGACCTGCGGCGGGGCCGCAACCCAGCTCCCAGACACTGAGGGAGCCGGATGGGGGCCTGATGACTCTAGCAGAAGGGATGCCTGGGGGCCCTGGTACTGCCCAGGGTCCAGAGGTCAGCTGGGACCTGCCCTTAAATGCCAGACGCTCGTGCTTTGATCGTCAGACAGGCCTAGAGACCACACTCATGCATGAATTTCGGACACTGGGCCTCTAATCTACAGGCTAAGTGACTGGCTGACCGGCTGGTAGGTATGATGCGCACTGACCACCAGGGGGCAGATGCTAAACGCAGGAGCTGCTGAGGGCACTCAACTTTGTAGAGTGCCCTCTTGCACCCTGGGACCCCTTGGGGGATGTTGGGACTGCTGGTTTCGGCCCGATCCCCACAGGCCAGGCCGAGGGATCCCACCTGCCGGAGCAACCCCCACTCACTCTGCAGAAGCCCTTCGAGCCCTGGCACCCCCCCCAGGTGTGGCCGGCCGGGGAGGGACCAAGGGAGGTTGGCTGCAGGGCATGTCCACTCTGCCCCGCCAGCCACCTTCTAATTAATTTCTTTTCAATGTGCACAAATCTGTGCACCAGGCCTCTCGTACAAGTATAAAAGACATGCCATTTCAAGGCAATGAGAGCTAGTTAAAAAGCTGCAAGAAAAGGCAAAGTTGCATAAACATGAAACTTGCTAGATGTCTCAGCAGATGCCACAGTCCCAGCAGTGTTTCCTAAACAATGGAGGAAGGTGGCTCAGAGCAGATTATTTATTTTTAAATTATGAAGTATTTCATACTATAGTGGAAGCATATTTCTAAAGCTGACACACATCTGGACTGCATTGGAAGTGGATGTTTCCTAGAACTTTTATATTCTGTTGTTCTTAACTATTTAATGCCACTGTTAATCATTTTGTTACTTCCCCCATTTTCCCTGTGATCTTGATCTTGCCAACTATGTTTTTGCTACTGAAGCTACTTTTTTTTTTTTTAATTGACTTTTTTACAGAGAGGAGGGGAGAGGGACAGAGAGAAACATTGACGAGAGAGAAACATCGATCAGCTGCCTCCTGCACACTCCCCACTGGGGATGTGCCCGCAACCAAGGTACATGCCCCTGACCAGAATCAAACCCGGGACCCTTGAGTCCGCTCTATCTACCAAGCCAAACCGGTTAGGGCTACTGAAGCTACTTTTAAAAGACAAAACCTAGGAAGTGGCAATGGATTGGTTGGTGGTGCGTTATAAAAGTACTTAGAATCTCCAAAATTCAGGTTTAGCTCTTAGATATTTCCATTAGCATATGAAATATGTGGTGGGAGAGATTCTAATGCAAATGCTAGGAAGTTCAATAATAATTACTGAAAAGCAAAGTTTCTTATCTTAGAAAACATGTAGAAACTGGTAAGAGATTTTGTACCTAAACAAAAATGCAGGGAATGACCACTTCTACCTTTTCTAATTAAAAGACTTAGGGAGAACATCAATTACAATTAAAGATAGGATTTATTAAAACAAAACCAGGAGTTTTCATTAAATACAAAGTTCTGCTTTGACAATCTCCATTATTTAATGGGAAAGGACATATAATTGACTCCTGAGACACAATGAGGAACTTACTGAAATTTTTCTTGTTGGGAGATAAGCGTTTCTGAAACACTGATGTGATAGTAACATGCATCTTACACTTGCAGGTGTCAAGGAGAAACCAAGGAGAATCTCCTAGCTTACCCTGAACATCAAACAGTTCGTCCTCTTCCACCCAAGTCTCTTTTTCTTCAACCCCATTAGAACTGTTCCACTTGCCTTTGGGTAATCTGCGGAGAGATCAATGAGAGACAAGGTGTAAAACATTCATCCTGGGTCATTCATATTCTGTCCTTGGCTCACTTGCAGTCTTATATTTCTCCTTGCTCTGCTGTGACCACATTCGAGATTCACCTACATACAACTCCTAAATCCTAACCTGGCCTGGCATCTCCGTGTCATCATCAGGCTGTAGAACCACTCCTCAGACAGCACTGCATACATCACCACCACCCTCAAAATACATATTTTTAAGGCTGTCTGGTTATTTTGCAAATGAGTAATGAAAGCAGTTTGCTTAATAAGTGCATAAGTTTGAAAAAAATTCCTTGAGTTCCATGAGTTTTTCTATGGAATTACCTAATTGACTATTTACTTTCCTTTGTTTTTTAATTGGATCATATCCCCCAAAATGTTATTTCTGAGAATAACTAATTTGAGACAAAGTAAAGGATATTTTTCCTTCTCAGGATATTTGCTGTTAATTACTATTTGTAAATAAAAGTCAGACAGCTTAAGTTTTCTATCTACTTATCCTAGTGCTAGGATAAAATTTTCACCTCTGGGTCTGTCATTTTCACCTGAGTAGCTGTTCACTCTTTCTGCAGATAGTCTTTGCAGTTCAGTGGTAACCCCCTGCACCTACTCTCAACTTGGCATTTATTACGTGTACAAATGGTTTGGTACTTGATAATTTCTCGTGTTGTGGAAGGGGCTGAGATCTGGATTTTCATCCTATTAGTGGCTGTGTGCTCCCGGGAAAGTCAGGATAGCCTGTGGCTCCTGGATTTTGAACAGCCCTTGAACTAAGAATGGATTTTATATTTTCAAAGCATTGTAAGGAAACAAAACAAAAAATACACCACACACACACACACACACACACACACACACACACACACACACGGTCCACAAAACCTAAAATGTTAACTTTTTGCTGGACTTATATATAAGTTTTGCGTGTGATCCCTTAAGTTGCAAAAACCAGTAATTATTTTTATTTGGTTAATAAACACCTAGTACTTGCTCATGCCAAGTGCCAGGGGGGGATATAAAAACCTAGTAAGTCATGGCCCTGCCCTCCAGGTGATAAACCTTAATCCTGCCTTCCTCTTTCCACTGGCCCAGCTCCTCCAGGCCCTAACTGCTCGCTCGCCTGGCAGCAGTGTCTAGCCACTCTCCTTTCCCTCAGTACCTCTTCCGAACCCTCACTGGTATCTCACGAAACCTTCAGATTAGTGGGGTTAGAATTATTTGGACATAGTTAGAAAAGCCGATTACAGAGCATTCCCCAGCCCCTTCTAATTCAGTAGTAGGGTGCCTGGGAATATGTATTTTTTAAACATTCCATAGGTAATTGTGATATGAAGCACAGTTTGAGAACCTCCATCCGATAAAATACAATAGGAATTCAAGTTCTGGCCCATTTACCTATCCAGACTTTTCTACTTTCTTCCTCCATGTGCATTGTATTCCCCTGCCATACAGACTACATGACATTTTTGGGAACATACCAGGTATTCTCATGCCTTTATGCAAGGGGTTCCTGCTGCCTAGAATCCCCAGGTCCCCAATATGCTTGATGACTCTTGAGTTAAGAGGTCATCTTTCAAGGCCAGCTCAACATTTGCTCCTCTGCAAGGTTTGCTCCACCAACCCTGCTGAGCAGGCTCAGCTCTTCTTCCGTGGACAGGGATCCCTTTTTTGTAAAGGGCCAGATAGGATCTTCGGCTTTGCAGGCCTTAATGTCTTTGTTGCAACTACTCAACTCAATGTAGCATCAAAAGTAGCCTTAGACAACTCAGCCAGACAATACATAAATGATAGATGTGGCTGTATTCTAATAACCCTTTACAAAAAACAGACAGCAGGCAGATTGGGCTCAGGGACTGTAATGTGCCAACCTCTGCTTTCATATCATACCCTTGGCACATGAGAGAGGTGGTTATGTCTGAAACCTTCACAAATCCTCCCATTAATAAAACTATTGTGGTCAGGCACTCTTTCCAGTTTTCTCATCTGTTCATGGGGCAATATCTACACCTCACAAGATCACTGTAAGAAGTCAATGAGATCACGTCTAGAACGAAAATAAGTGTGTTGAGCTGCATCTACTTGCCCAGCCGTGACTCACTCACTTCCAAATGCTGGTATTGGTGCATATAGTGCAGCTTAGTGCCTGAGTATGACTCACCTATCAGATGCCACAGCCCCGCAGGACACCTAGCACATGCTGCCAGAGCACAGGTCCCCAAACAACTACGACAAAGAGCAGTAGTACAGATGGCAATGGCCTGGGGAGACCATCAAGGTCACCTACAGCAGGGTGACCAGAGGAGGTTCATGGAGGAGGCAGAATTTTTAAGAGGCGGCTGATGTGTAGTGTACAGGCCATGGGCCCTTGAGTCTAGACTGACCTGGATTAATGACTTAAGGCCAGTTAGCAACTTTTCTGAACCTTCCTCATTTGTAAAATGGGGCTAATAATCGGTAACTGAGGATTGTAGAGATTCAGTAATATAATACATAAATGTACTTGGCCCACAAAAAGTGCTTCTCTTCCCTTTAAAGGACAGATGGGATTCTGACAAGCAGTGATGGAGGGATGATAGTCCAATCATGAGGAATGACAGGGAGCAAGAATACAGTAATAGAAACAAAACAGCGTGTTCCAGAGAGAGCAAGCAGACCAGTGTGCCTGGAGGAAGGATCCACGAGAGGACACGAAGGGTAACAAAACTTGAGAGAGAGGTCAGGGGTCATGATAGGGGAGCAAAATGAAAGCATTCTAACCACTGTTCCACAGAACCTAGCACAATGTGAGAGGTTAGTAAATATTTACTGAATTTGTCAAGTCTCAAAAGCTCATAGAAGGTGCAAAACTGTAAATACTCATAAATCTCTAGTTAGCAGTCAAGGTACTCAGCAGTCTGCTAAAAATGGAAGCAGCAATGAGCAGGAGGCTCCGACACCCTTTCATCCTCATGCCCTCGTGCAATGCCTGGAAGCCCCCGTGTGGGGCTTCAGAACTGGCACGGATGGCTATGTTGTCTCTCCCCACTCCCGAGTCACATTCTAGCAGTCTGAGCAAGCCTTGGAGGTGAACAGCTTAGATGCAAGTTACTTCATTCACAGAAGCAATACCAGGCCCAACCAGGACCACCAACCAGCCCCCAAACTCCTACAAAGAAGGTCTTCATACTTGGGATTCTTCTCCCTGGGAAGGGGTTGGTTGAGAACGGCAGGCGTGGATGGTGACGCTGGAATGATTTCCTGAGAGGAGTTGAGGCTGGGGCTCAGCTCGGTACTCTGACTGTCCTCCTCCAAAACCAATCTGCTAATTGTCATACGCTTGTTCTTGGGCTGCAGTTCAGAGCCACTCTCTCCCTCAGCAGGAGCTGAACCTTCGTTTTCATCCTTTCTCGGTCTCTTGTTTTTGAGGGCCGGCGATGACAGGGATGCTTTAGTAGGAAGTACCAGATCTTTCTGGTCCAGTTTTGAGAAGATCGCCTCAGAATCTTGTGAACCGCACAGAGTCTTGAAAGCTGCTTTCAGAGTCATAATTCCAAAGGTGGTTGGAGTATTCCGTAGCTGCCTACAAATAAGGCAACATACTAAGATCAGTTTCACCACTTTTTAAAATAATCTTACCTAAGGGTATTTTTCTTCATTGATTTCTAGAGAGAGTGGAAGGGAGGGAGGAGGGGGGTGATAAGAGAGAAACATTGATAGGAGGAAGACTCATCGATTGGCTGCCTTCTGCACACACCCCTACTACCTGAAACCAGGGTATGTGTCCTTGACCAGGAACTAAACCTGAGACCCTTCAGACACTCTCTAACCATGGAGCCAAACTGGCCAGGGCAGTTTCACCACTGTTGATGCTCATATTAGCAGAGGACTCCTCGAATTGAGGACTTTTAATAAAAAACAAACAAAACAAAAAAAAAACACAGACAGAGAGAGAGAACCTTACTTTACAAAAGCTTCTATTTAAGTTAAACTATGGATTTTAAACTCCAAATCAGAGAACCTTAAAGGAACTAGGGCCACGGATACTCCAGAGACCTCTGTAACTTGTGTGTGATCGAACCTGTTAGTCTGTATGGACTACAGCAGTGTTTTCCATTATGTAAGAACTTTACACAGTGTCTGACAAATATAAGTCCATCTGGACAACCTACTGATAATCCAGCAATTTCACTTTGAAGTCTAAACTCTCCTTCCAGCTGTCCCAGTCCGACCCTCGTGTGGCAAAAGTGAAAGACTGGTCTCCATTCTGCCCATTTTCTCCTACAATAAACTTGTGAATGGGACCTTGAGAATTCTGAGTAAGAAGCGTGCCACACAGTTTTGGAACAATAAGAAACTGCCTTTTCAAGAGAAGTTCATCTGTCGTTTGGAATAGCTCATGTGCTTTAAGTAAAGACTGTTAGGAGAGGGCCAACTGGCAGCCTGTAGGCCAAACCCAGCTGGCAGGTGTCTGCCTAACTTACGCAAGTGTTTTTTAAAAACTGGATAACTACCAACATTCAAAAATTGAGAAAGCTAAAAAAAAAAAAAAAAATTGTTATGTCTCACACAAAAATTTGAACTGAAGCTTGGGCATCCTTGGACAGCAACAATCACACAGGCTGAAAAGCATGCCCTCCTGGTTCACTGCCCATGCTCTCAATTACCCTAGACTAGTGGTCGGCAAACTGCGGCTCGCGAGCCACATGCGGCTCTTTGGCCCCTTGAGTGTGGCTCTTCCTAAGCCTTAGGAGTACCCTAATTAAGTTAATAACAATGCACCTACCTATAGAGTTTAAGTTTAAAAAATTTGGCTCTCAAAAGAAATTTCAATCGTTGTACTGTTGATATTTGGCTCTGTTGACTAATGAGTTTGCCGATCACTGACCTAGACCCACTTCATTCCTTTACCTTTCCCACCAGGCCCCCAAAGGCATCTAAATTTGTGAGCCCCCTGCTTTCACAACTGGTCTTGGGAATCTGATTCACAGTCTGAACACTCTATTAACAGATCAGATATCAACAAGGAAGTGCTGAGTAAATATGGGCGAGGCAAAGAGAAACAGGAGGACGGAACTTTTGAGGGATAGCCAGTCAGGAATTTCTGTCAGGGATCTGACATCCAGTCTCCAGTACTCTCATTTTCCCAGGTGTGCTCTGTACCTCCACAGTGCCTTGTATGAGCAACCCAGTAACAAGTTAGAAGGGCATCTCTCACCTCGGAGGTTCTCTGGGTGGCTTTTCCACAGGCTCTGGTGCTGGCTGTTTATCTTCCTTCACTGTAGCTGAGGCAGAAGACTCAGATTTCAAAGCCTTTTTGGCCATCTGGGAAAGGAAGGATGTCATCAGGAAGAGGAAGCCACAGAATTTCATTAATTCTCTACTTCTTTAACCATGACCATACTCAATATGCAAACATGTTCACCTACAAACCCAATCTAGGCATAAACTAGGACATAAAAAGCAAGAGAACTTACAAGAATGATCTCAAATTTCTTCCTTTTCTTTTTCAAACAATGGCTCATAGTTTCTATGCTGAAGGAGAACTCAGTTTGAGTACTGCTTTTTCAAAGAATTGAAAAAATTCTTTAATTATGTGGTTTTACTTCACATTCCTCTTCTTGGGAATCTGATTCACAAGTCTGAACACTCTAATAAGTGTTCCTAATATCCTGACACTTGCTCCTGGATTATTCCAAATGGTCTGCTTTATAAATAATTTGAGATTTGCCAAATCTCAAATTTGCCAAATGACAAGTGATGTCTTATGAGCTGCGAGCTCTATCCTCGCAAAGAAAGTGGCAGGTATTTTCCAGTTACCTGAACACAAAGGAAAGGATCCTAGGCCAGGCCCAAGTATCCTGACACTTGCTCCTGGATTATTCCAAACAATCTGCTTTACAAATAATTTGCAATTTACCAAATGACTGCTAGGATCATTGACACTATCCTCATATAGGTCTTGCACACCTACAGTTACGAGCCATATTTTCAACACTTAAAATCCTCGTTTAAGAAAACTAGGAGAGACTGGGCTCTACTTCTTCTACAAACTGTGTTGAGCCTCACTGTTTCCCTTCTTTATGCTTATCTCTTTGATCCAATTAAAGAATGTCTTCATTTGGCCTCTTTTGCCTTATACTTCTAATCACACCTTTTCTCCAATTATGCCTTCTTCCTGTTAACAACCCCATCATACCACATCTAATAAACCACTCTTCCTCCCAATTTAACTCAGACTTCATCTCCTCTGGGAAGCACCATCGACTGTAAGATGAATTTTCTCCTGTAGCAACCACACAGATTAATGACATGTAGAGGAGGTAAAAATGGGAGGTAAGAGAGACAATCTTTGTTTCATTTGCCTCTGTCAGGATCTCTGCTTCTGTATATTTACGGCATTTAATTAATTAAGGAAGATAGTGGATATAATTCAAAGTCTTTTCCACATGTTTATTTTTTCACTTCTAACAAGAGTTGTCCTTTTCTAATTGCCTGCACATCCTCAAGGCCATATCATGGTTATGGGAAGAGAAGGCCAAGGCCCACCGTGAGGAGGTAGGGTTCTGCATCATCCAGGTGACTCTCCAGGAAGCGCAGCATCTTCTGTTGGAAGGTCTCATAGGAAAAGTTCTGGATAACAGGGTGGGCCAAGTTCTTTTCACGGATGATGTTCAGGAGATCATTTCTCAGTTTCTATACAAAGGACCAATATTGGCAACATGAAAAGGAGAACTCTAGTAAAAATTCAATGATGAGTTGAGACAACACTGTCAGAAATTTCACAACATTCTCAATGAAAATCACTGGTACACAGAAAGGAAGGGGAGCCCACCACAAAGGATGGGTCAATAAATGACGGATCAGCCACAGTGGGTTACTATGCAGTATAAATAATGATGAAGAACTTAGGATCTAACGTGCCTTTATACATTTACTTACAGATTATTAAACTTAAAAAAGAAACCCAAAATACAAAAAGGATAAAGAAGTTCTTTATCTGCTAATATAGCATGATCTCTAAGATAGAGTAAGTCAAAGAAGCAATTTACAAGAATACTCAAATTAGTGTGTAGAATATGCTCACATATGTATATGAGAAGAACAGGAAGAATGGATATGTGTGTATACAAATATCCATGTACAGACACATGCACACTTATTTGCTTGCATATATGCAGAATATCTCTGAAAAGATAAAAGCAGAAAATACTGGTGGCCTCTGAAGAGAGAGGAATGAGATGGCTGAGTCAGAGATAAAAGAGTTTCAGCAAGCTCTTTGGTTGTACTTCTTGAATTTTGTGTTATGTACATGTTACCTTTTCAAAAATTAAAATTTTAAGGAAAAATAAAGGGGGAAAAAAACCAAGATGAGGGTATCAACAGAGCTTTTGGCACCAGAAAATAGAGGAGTTACATCCTTACAAAGGCAAATTCTCAGGTCTACAGGATCAGCATTGAGGCAGCATTAAGTAAAGTTAGAAGTGATACAAAACTTGATAGTTTGATACCTGGTGCTGATCACTTAAAGTTCTGTCACAAACCAGACAGAAATGGGCAAGTAAATGACTTATGTAAATTTGTGTAATAAAAAATAAAAATTTAAAAGCCAATCTAACAGTAAAATATGATATAAAAATAAAAATTTAAAAGCCAATCTAACAGTAAAATATCCTTGATATAAAAGACAACATGCTAAAGGTGCTGAATATTTACATAACATCCCTAACAAAGAACTCTTTCCCTGTTTTCCCACAAAAAACAATGAAATGTATTTAAGTCTTAGAAGACAACATGCTAAAGGTGCTGAATATTTACATAACATTCCTAACAAAGAACTCCTTCCATTTTTCCACAAAAAAACAATGAAATGTATTTAAGTCTTAGGAGCAAAATATTATATTTACCTGAGTTGTGGGGTCCTTGGACATATGTTTTTTCAAAATTTTTGAAGCCTTTTCAAATTCTTTATTTTTAATACAAATAATGACAGCCTACAAAAGGGGGAAAAACCTTTTTTTAACTGTTGTGATAAGTATGAGAATATTAAATGTCACAAAGCTTTACTAAAAAGTGAAACTGAGTCTTACACACCCAAGAACTTTTTCATTCTTTCAATTTCTGTACTTAAAAACTAACCATTATTGTTCAAGCATTATAAACAACTGCAAGCTCTTTTTCAGTGTATAGGGTATAGATTTTCAGCATTACACTCGATTTTTAAAAAAGATGCCTATTACAGCAAAATCTGATCCCCTAGATTACAGACCATTTACCCAATTTGAATAGGGCCTCGTACAGAAAGGCAAAATGGACTCGAGTCATTCCAGGTCCCCAGAACAATTGGTTTTGTTCTTTTTAGATGCTAAAGCTTTGATGTAATGGAGGGAGAGAGGGTAGGATACATTATTCGAGTTAAAATGTGCAGGGAATTACTGAGACAGACAAACCCAGCTCTTCCACAGCAGCCACAAAAGACAAAGTTTCAGTTAGGATGAGGTCTCAACAACCAGAGGAAAAGAAGAGTCCTTTGGTAAAAAACACACACAAGAAAACCCAAGAGACTATAGTAGAGGGAAATTAACTGTAAATTGAAAATTAAAAAGGATATTTTAAAAACATGCGCACTTTTTTTTTTTTTTTAATTAGAAAGGCCATGGGAAAACTGGGAGCACTTGGAATTACCTAACAGGATAAAGTAGCTCCCTTAGATCCTGTCCCAAGAGAGGTATCAGACATACCTCACATACAAAAGGAAGGAAAATTGGTTCATAGGTAGATATTTTCAATCTTTACAGGGAAGAATTTAAGGAGAAACAGACAAGAGTAGGAGGAATAGCAAGAAATCCATGAAGTACTAATCTCTGGTCATTCTGTCAACATGCTGAGCACAGCCCTACAGGGCAAACTAGTCAAATGCTCCTGAATGCATAAACCTAAATTCTTGCTGCCCAGGGAAGGTACAAAGTCCTTCCATTTAATCCAGAGGTTCTCAACCTGTGGGTCACGATTCCTTTGGCGGTCGAACGACTCTTTCACAGGGGTCGCCTAAGACCATCCTGCATATCAGATATTTACATTACGATTCATAACAGTAGCAACATTTCAGTTATGAAGTAGCAACGAAAATAATTTTATGGTTGGGTCACAACATGAGGAACTGTATTTAAAGGGCCAGAAGGTTGAGAACCGCTGATTTAATCAGATGACCACATTCACTTTTACATAATTTTTTTGCAGAAAAACAATACTAAAACTATACTTTCTTGAATACAAAGATTTTACTTTTTATAAGCCAGGTGCTATTGCTTTTAAATTTTATTTGCCTTGCATATAGTAAATTAATTTTTGGTGGACTGTTGAGTTTTAACACAAGTATTGCCTCTCTTAAGGATACAAAAACCTCCCTTGTGCTGCCTCTCTGTAGTCACTCCGTCCCACGTCCCTAATCTTTTCACTGTTTGGACTCCTCAAGAATGTCATAAATGGATTTATACAGTACTTAGCGCTTATTTTTTTTAAAGGACATAGCCTTGAGGCTAGCTTACTTCCCTCAGTACGATGCCTTTGCAATCCATCTATGTTGTTGCATTATCAATAACTCTTTTTATTGCTGAACAGTATATCCCCTTGTATGGGTCTACTACAGTTTTGTTTATCCATTCCCCTTTTGAAGGACATTTGGGTTGTCTGCAATTTTTGGTGATTATGAATAGAGATGCTAAAACATTCATGTACAGGTTTTGGTAGGAACATAACTTCATTTCTCTACGGTAAATACCCAAGAGTGGAATTGCTGGGTCATATGGAAAATGTATGTTTAACTTTGTAAGTGGCCAAACTGTTTTCCCGAGTGATTACCATTTTGCATTCTCATGGGCAACATATGAGAGTTCCGTTTGCTCCACATCTTCACTAGCACTTCTTAGTGTTAGTTTTTAAAGTTTAGCCTCTCTAATAGGTATGTCCTGGTATTCATTGGGGCTTTACTTTGTATCTCCCTATTGACTGATGTTGAGCATCTTTTCATGTACTTACTTGCCATCGTTTATTCTCCTTGGTGGTCTTCTGCCCATTATTAAAATAGAGTTTCTTTTTTTTTGAGAGTTCTTTATATATTTTTCCTTTTTATTGAATTGGGGTAATACTGGTTAACAAAATTATACAAGTTTTAGATGCACAATTCTAGAGTTCTTTATATATTTTGGATAAAAGTCCTTTGTCAGATATAAAATGTGCAAATTTTATTTTTTTTAAAATATATTTTATTGATTTTTTACAGAGAGGAAGAGAGAGGGATAGAGAGTTAGAAACATCGATGACAGAGAAACATCGATCAGCTGCCTCCTGCACTGAGGATGTGCCCGCAACCAAGGTACATGCCCTTGACCGGAATCGAACCTGGGACTCTTGAGTCCGCAGGCCGATGCTCTATCCACGGGGCCAAACCCGTCAGGGCAAAATGTGCAAATTTTATATCCAGTCTATAGCTTGTCTTCTTTCTCAACAGTATTTTTCTCAGTTTTAAATTTTGATGAAGTTCAGTTTATCAATTTTTCCTCTTTTAGTGTCATATCTAGGACATGAAAATTTTCTTTCATGTTTTCTTCTGAAAGTTTTATAGCTTTACACTTTACATTTAGATTATAATCCATTTTGAATGAATTTTTGTATAGGCTAAGTTTTAGGTCCAGGTTCCTTTTTTTGCATGTGGACATTTAATTGTTTCAATACCGTATGTTGAAGACTATCCCTTTATCATTAAGTTGCCTTCACATTTTTGTCAAAAAACTACTTAAGTCATATTTGTGTGGGTTTACTTCTAGATTCTCTCTTCTGTCCCACACGAATCTACATGTCTACATGGAGTATAATTCTTAAAATTGGGTAGTGAGTCCTCCTATTTTGTTCTTCTATAAAACTGTTTTGTTTTAGTTCCTCTGCCCTAACATATTATTTTATAATCAGTCTGTATCTCTAGAAAATCCTACTGAGACTGTGATTGGAATTATATTAAATCTATAGGTCAACTGGAGAATGACATCTTAACTATCCTATATAATAAAAGGGTAATATGCAAATTGACCCTAATAGCAGAATGACTGGGAATGACTGGTCACTATGACACACACTGACCACCAGGCAGACGCTCCTCAATGCAGGAGCTGCCCCCTAGTGGTCAGTGCGCTCCCACAGGGGGAGCTCTGCTCAGCCACAAGCCAGGCTGACGGCTGCCAGCACAGCGGTGGTGGCGGGAGCCTCTCCTGCCTCCTCAGCAGTGCTAAGGATGTCCAACTGCAGCTTAGGCCTGCTCCCCGCTGGCAAGTGGACATCCCCCAAGGGCTCCTGGGCTGCCAGAGGGATGTCTGACTGCCAGCTTAGGCCTGTTCCCCCCAGGAAGCGGGCCTAAGCCAGCAAGTGGACATCCCCTGAGGGGTTCCAGACTGCAAGAGGGCACAGGCTGGGCTGAGGGACTCCTCCGAGTGCACAAATTTTTGTGCACCAGGCCTCTAGTATACTATAGTCTTCCAATTCACGAACATGGTATGTTTTTCCATTTATTAGGTCTTGAATTCTTTCATCAGCATTTTGTATTTTTCCACATACAGATCCTGCACATGTTTTGCTAGACTTATATTTAAGTATTTTTCTTTTGGGAGCTATGAGTAGTCCCATTATCCATTTTTATATAGAATGGGGCAAAAGTGGGTTTACAGTTGTGAGTATGCAAGTTTATTCTTGTATTATTAAATATTGTATTATTTTCCATACAAAATTGGTTTCAGTTACCTATGGCCAACTGCAGTCCAAAATATTAAATGGAAAGTTCCAGAAATAAACAATTCACAAATTTTAAATTGCACCATTGCTCTAGGTAGCATGATGAAATCTCAGGCTGTCCTGCTTCATCCTGCCTGGACCAGGAATCATCCCTTTGTCCAGCGTATCCATGTTGTACATGCTGTCTGTTAATCATTTAGTAGCTGTCTTGGTTATCAAATTGACAGTCATAGTATGACAATGCTTGTGTTCGAGTAGCCCTTATTTTACTTAATAATGGCCCCAAAGCACAAAGTAGTAATGATGGTAATTAGGATATGGCAAAGAGATGCCATTAGTGTATGTATAGGGAAAAACATAGTATACATAAGATTTAATACTACCCAAGGTTTCAGGCATCTGCTGGGAGTCTTGGAACATATTTCCCACAATAAGGGGGAGACTACTGTATTGTAAATGGCACTGTTTTGGTAATTTGATTTCAAAATCTTTATTGCTAGTATATGGAAATATGATTGATTTTTGTGTTGATCTTATATCCTGCTATCTTGCTAAAGTTACTTAGTATAGCTTTTTTTGTATATTCCATGGGATATATTTTTATACAGAATGGGGCAAAAGTAGGTTTACAGTGGTGAGTATGCAAGTTTATTTTTGTATTATTATTAATTATTGTATTATTTTCCATTTGAACACTGTGAACCTGCTTTTGCCCCACCCTGCATACAGGGTGATGTCTTCTGCAAAAAGGGACAATTTTATTCCTTCCTTTCTAGTCTGTTGCCGTTTATTTCCTTTTCTTAATTTACTGCACTAGCTAGGTCTTCTAATATGATGTAGAATGGAAGTAGTGAGAATGGATTCCTTGCCTTGTTTTGGATTTTAAGGACAAAGCATTCCTTCTCCACCATTAAGTATGATGTTGGCTGTAGGTTTTTTTGTAGATGCCTTTTATCAGGTTGTGGAAGTTACTTTTTATTCCTAGTTTCTGAGTGTTTTTATCATGAACTAATATTGAGTTTTGTCACATACATTTTTGGCATCAACTGATAATGACTGTGTGGTTTTTTTCTTTAGATTAATAGAGTGGATTACACTTATTTTCAAATACTGAATCAGCCTTGCATTTCTGGGCTTTAGTTCCCCACTGTGCCACACACTAACTGCATCTGTATCCAGGGCTGTATCTACAGCAGCAGGATGTACAGTAAAA